AGAGGACAGCAGAGCCCCCAAGAGCCTCAAGGGGACTTCTGGCTATAGAACAGGGTAGGCGTAGACACTCAAGGCAGCCTCTGGGGTGTCGCAAGATGGGTTAGAGTTGGACTGGCTCCTGGTGGGACCCTATCTAAGGCCAGCAGGGCTGAAGTTCTGGGCCCCCTCCCTGGCTTTCCTGTAGAGACCAGAGAGGACCTGAGGCCTGTAGGTTGGAATCCCTAGTACAGAAGGGCTCTTGTCATCGAGAGTCTGTCTCTCTCTCTCTCTTGCTCTCATTTTCTGTGTTTCTCTGCCTTTCCTACTTTCCTCTCTCAATCCTTTGGCTCCTTTTATCCCCTCACCTCCCCCACACCATCAGGACTCCTTTATTCCCTCTTGGTCCTCTAAGGAAAAGCATCTCTCAAGACCCCAGCAGGCATGGAGTCCCTGGCTACTCTGGCTGAGCTCACCCTGGGGACTGGCTGCCCTGCTGTGGCTCCCAGCCTCTCAGGCAGTCTCAGAGTCCCAAGAGCTCAAGGAGCAATGGGAGGGAGCCCCAACGGGCAGCTCTGGTTTCCTTTGTTAACGGCTTTCCTGTCCCAGCTGCCAAGTGTCTGGGCTGTGTCAATGGCACTGCCCTGAATGAGAACCAGGGTCCCACTGGGTGGAGGCCCAGCCCTTTATCCAGCCTTCAGAGGGCCCAGATGGCCGCTGCTGACTGTGGAAGTAGGTTTCTCGCCCCCACCCCCACCCCCTTTTCTGGAGCCAGGTGCCTGCCCTGTAGACAAGTTGGGATCAGATGGAAACTAGATGTTCACAGGCTCAGTATGAGCTGGAGAGTCAGTCCCAGAAATGGGGCAGAGGGAAGGCACAGGCAGAGGTACAGAACCTACAGAAGTGGAGAGCCAGGTTAGGGGAGGCCCATCCTGCCCTCTCCTGCCAGCTGTGTCATCCAGCAAGACCTCTCGCCAAGCTGTTAGTGTCAGAGACTTGTGTGTGCTGTCATCCCTGTTCCACCTCTTTGTTCACCCAAGGATCCATGGGCAGAGCCCTGTACCGGTGTGTGTAGGCAGCACTGAGTGTCACCCACTCTGCCTCTGTCTCCCACCAAATACTTTGAAAGCCAAAACAGCTCTCTCACCTAGGGAAGTACCAAGACCCACAGCCCGGGAGGCAGGAATTTGGAGCCCGCTTGACAGGTTGGGAGCTGAGGCTCAGAAAAAATATGTGGCCGTTGGAAAGGGACAGACAGAAGAGGATTTCAGCCCACATCTATCTGATGCCCACCTAACCCCTGTGCCAAGGAAGTTAGGGCAGCCAGGTAGCACTCCCTTGGGTCTCTGTGGGAGTGTTCTGGAAGGGGTCACTGGTGAAAGTGGCATTGCAGTTATCCCTTTCTTCCTCCTGAGCTCAGTGTCTAGGGAGGGTACAACGTGGCCTGCTGCCCTGTGGGCTCCTTGGTTAGAGTCCCCTCCCTCCCCCTATTGTCTACAAAAGGCCCAAACCTAGTCTGGGTCTTTGGATCCCTGGCCCTGGTCCAGAGTTAGCCTCTTGCCTGCCACCTGCCCCATCTGGCTAGACCCTGGGTTGGGCATGTGAGCCACCCCTTAGTGCCTGTCATGGGCCCAGGGTGTCTTCCGTTGGGAGAGTTTGGAGTCTGGGTTACAAAGCTGTACTGATGAGGCTGTTATTCTGATTCCTTATCATATGTAACTGTTTTACAGGAGGCCGAGTGTGGCGGTTAACACAGGGACTGGGTCAGACAGTTGGGCTTTGACTGGCTCTACCATCTCTATGACCTTAGGCAAGTTTCTTTGCCACCATGGATCTCAGTTTCTTTAGCTGTAAACTGGGATTAAAAGCAGTGCTTACCACACAGGGACACTGTGAGGATAGAGGGAGCCTAAAAAATGCTCAGCACAATTGCTGGCAAAGATAACTGTGCAGAGTGTCAGCATTTGTTACTGAGTGGTGAGACTGTGTCTCTAGGGACCCAACTCATCCCTCAGAAGGAGGGCTGCTTTGTGACTGTATGCTGTGTTTCATACAGCTCGTTTTCATGTGAACTCCAGCTCGGGCATTCCCTGAGGGCAGGGCTGGGATCCATCCATCCATTTTCTGTGTCCAGCTTGGGGCCAGCCCATGATGGCGACTGCAGTGGGCAGTGGTGTAAGATGGACACTTAGGGCAGGACGTTGTGTGGGAGGGTAGGGGGTCCTGAAAGAGCCACCCAAGGCCCTTGGCTCCCCACTCCCACCCCAACCTTCCATCCCCAGGGAGAGCTGCCCTCTTGAGGTCGCCTCTCAGTGCTAAGCTGGGGTCAGGTCTGGTGTTTCAGCCTGGCCTGTGGCCTTCTGTCTCAGCTGCTAGGGTAGGAGTCCATGGGCTTGGGGCCCGGCCATTGACCTTTCACATTGGCCTCACTGATAATCCCAGCCTGTCACAGACCACAACAAACAAATCCAACCAGAGATTGGAAAATCAGATAGTGGGGGATCAAAACGCAGCCTCTAGAGTCAGCTGCGCTTTCAGGAAATGCATTACCTGTCAAATGTGAAAACAAACACAGCCACAGTGGCTTCTTTCCTTGGGTGATCAGGACAAAGTCCAAAGAGCTGGGGACGCAGTGCCCAGCTCTAGATTGTTATTGTTATCTAGATTGTTATTTTCCAGAGCACAGCAGCCTGGCTGGATCTCTCCTTCCACTTTCTGCCTGGGTGGAAGGGTTGCCCCACTTACAGAGCTGGTGGGAACTCAGGCCGGCACCTGTGGCTCAGACCAAGCTCAGGGCAGAGGCCCCCTTCCTCAGACAGCTCAACCACTTCCTATCTCCTCATCCTAGAACAGTAGGGGTCACCCCAAACAGAGGCCTACAGGTGGGACACACATGACAGGCTGCACCAAGCACGCAAAGGCCCCTGACTGTCAGTCATGACATCAGGAATACCAGGACAGTCACCACCACCACCATCAGCTGCATTTATGTGGCATTTGTACCTCATGTACACCAGCTCCTGTGGGCTTCATCATATCCACTGTTCAGTTCATTTTACAGGTGGGAAAGCTGAGGCCTTAGAGGTGTGACAATTGTCCCAGGCCACATGGTTGGCAAGATGTAGCAAATATGTCCTCTTCAGACAGGGAGACTGGGAGAAGAGGCCACAGCACACATAGATTGAGCTGTACCGTGTGCTGACCTGATGGCAGCTCACTGTTCCACTGTGGGGGCAGCTGGGGCCTGTGTCCCCAATCACCTATGAGGAAGAAGTTCTGTGGTGTCCCCACCCCTGCCAAGGTCCTGTGGTAGGTGCATAACCCAGCCAGAGGTAGGAACCCAGGGCCAGCCGTGCAACTCTGAGTCCAGCACTCCTTATGCCCCTCCACGCAGAAGTCCCCGTAAACAGGACAGGGCCGCGCATAGTGAGAACCGCTGTGGACAGAAGTCTCCCAGTGTGCCGCTGCACACTCAGCCCAAACTGGCCGTGCAACCTGTGGTCTTTTGCTCTCTCTGGCCCCAGTGAAAACTGCAGGGATCTCAAAGATCTCAGGCACAGTGACATTGCTCTGGGGTAAATGGCCTGGAAGAAATGAGCCTTTGGAAGGCAAGGGTGGAACATAGGTGCCAGAGCCTCATGTGACACGGCTTTCCAGACAGCTGCTCCTGGCCAGGCACTACTGCACCAAGAAGCCTGGGCCTGCCTGCACCATGCAGAAGCAAAATGACTGGGTATTCTGGGGGCGGAGCCACAGCAGTGTGTCACAACAGATGTGTCTGCTGGAGCACTTCAAGACCCTGGTGCCCTGGCTGCACTCCCGGGCAACTACAATCCCTGGCCCCCAGGTCAGGCACCAGCACCATAGAGCTCCAGGGCAGTCCCAGTGTGCAGCTGGAGACTGGGGACTCTGCTCCAGGGCACTGGCATGGGGAGACAGACCCTGGGCCCCCAGGCAGGCTCTCCAGCATCTGTGACCCCTGGGTGGAAGCAGCTTCCTGCCCATTTGTGTGTGTCTTCCTAGGAGAAAATCTATGACTTCCATCATCTCTTCTCACCCAGAGGAGATTCAGATCCAATCCTGGGGTGGGGCAGGGGTCAAACCCTGGGATTCAACCCATGCTCCAGGAAGAGGTATTCTGAGAGAGAAACTAGAAGTGCAAAGGCCTGGGGTGGGCAAGGAACAAGTGTATTGGAACAATAGAAAAGAGACCAGCTGGATGCTGGTGACTTGCACCTCTAATCCTAGCTACTGAGGAGGTAGAGATCAGGAAGACGGAGGTTCAAAGCCAGCCCTGAGCAAATAGTTTGAGAGACCCTACCTTGGGAAAAAACCATCACAAAAAAGGGCTGGTGGAGTGGCTCAAGGTGTAGGCCTGAGTTCAAACCCCAGTACCGCAAATGAAAAAAGAAACAAGAGCAAATGAGTGGCACAAGTAGGGAGGACTGAGGAGGAACAGGGCAAACCAGGATCTTTCTAACCACTTAGGAGCCTGGATTTTATAGCCTATAAGTTCACAGCCACATCTCTGTTGAAGGGGTGCAGGCAGGAAGGGACAAGATGCAGGTTGCCTTCTGTAGTCCTTCTTGTCGTGTAGATAAGGGATTGGTGCGGGCAGACACTGTACTGGCCTAGGTGGGAGGCTGGTGGGGGCCCGGAGGAGTGGTGGGTTGGAGGAGGTGTCCTGGACCGTGGGGCTACAAGGAGGAGACACACATGGTCTGAGCGCTCAGTGGGTGGAGGGACCATTTCCTCCCCTTCTCTGAATCTTACAGCACTTAGAGCCTGGAGTGCAAGCCCAGTCCCAGAGAGACCTTCGAAAGCCTTTGATTTGCACATGGCATTAGGAGCTGTTAAGTGAAAAGGGTTTCTCAGGAGTTGGGGATGACTCAGTTACAGTGTGTACTGCTGGGTGTCTTAGGACAGGAATGGCCTAATGCAGGCCGCTCTCGGGAAGAGACCTGCTGCTCCCAGGCCACATTACAGCTGAGCTGTTTGTTCTTAACAGTGCCTTTGTCTTCCAGTACTTGTCTTCTGAGAAGCCACTCCAGAAAATACTGCTGTGGTCCAAGCCCATCACTGCACAGGTAAGGAAGGGGATCCGGGGAGGGCAGTCACCTGTGTGAAGTCACAGACAGCCTGTCCTGTCAAAGCTGCATCTCCTGATCCTGGTTTTGAAGGTGTTTAACCTACACACACCTTGGTTTTCTGGGGCTATTTCAGGACCCAGGCTCTCAGGTCAGGCTCTGGGCAAGTACCCATCTCCAGGTGAGGGTGACGCCATACCTCCTACTCCATGGTGCAAACTCACAGCGGTGGGGGCAACATAGAGAGGGGCTCTTTGGAGACACCAGCTCTTCCCAATCCCACCTCCTATGCCCAGGGGCTCTGGGGAAGGTGAGAAGGCTTGGCAACAGGTCCTCCATCCTGGCTCAGGGTGTTCACCCTCCACACCCCCTGCACAGCCCTTGAGTGAGGATAGAAAAATGCTGAAAACACTCTCAGTTGCCTTAGGAGCACTTGGTCTCAGAATTCCTTCAGTTGGATGAACATTTACAGTCCTTGTGCTCTTTGTGGTAGTACCTCTTCCTCCCTTCCTCTGTCCACCCATCCCTTTCTCTATCCTGCGACCCACTCATCTGTCCACCCATCCATCCATCCCACCCATTCACCCACCTATCTGCCCATCCACCTGTCCATTCATCCACCCATTCACCCATCAGTCCATCAATCTATCATCCATCTATCCATCAATCCATCAGTCCATCCCATCCCATCCCATCCCATCCATCCCATCATTCACCTATCTGTCCACCCATTCACCTGTCCTGATATTCATCTACCCATCCATCCATCTGCTCATCCATCTACCCATCCACCCATTCATCCCACCATTCACCCATCCATCCATCCATCCATCCATCCATCCATCCATCCATCTACCTATCCATCTACCTATACACACTCCTATCTATCTATCCATCCATCCACCCATCCTGTCTTTCATTCAGACACATTTCTTGGGCACCTGCTCTGTTCTCATAAAGAACAGTCTTCCCGTGATAGGGAAGATGGATGAGTAAGTAGAAAATTATTGTACAGTATCTTGTTATGGTAACTGCCATTTGTTGACAGCCTGCCACAGATCAGGCATTTTACCCACATGGCCTAATTTAGTGTCTGGAAAAATCTGCAAAATAGGTTTCATCTTCCTCATTTTATAGATGAGGATACCCAGGGTTATCAGAAGGAAATCCATAACCAACATGCGTCTTAGGCTGGGGGGGGGGTGGCCGTGGCAGTGGTTCAGGCTGGCTGTTGTAGGAGTTTGCTGGAGGAGGTGAAGTCTGGGGTGAGTATTAAAAGATGAGAAGAAGTGAATAAAATATTAGTATTTTAATTTCATTATACAAATTGATTGGCATAAAATTATATATTTGGTCAATTGAAGTTGTCATTGCTTAGAAATGGTCAATTTACCTGCCACAGAGAATAGCTGACAGAGCTTCCATGACCATTCTAGACTTTCCATCAGACGTGCTTGTATCTCCTTCCCCTGTGTCATCAGTCAGTTTTTATAATGTACCCTGGCAGGAAGGCATGAGCACCTCCATTAGTTGTACACAAGAGAGCGTGTATACTGCTTGCTAACTTTCATCTTAGAGGATGCTTGCCCCTTCCTCCTTCCTTCTGCAGCACTGAGCCATCTGATGTTGATGGTGCAAACATGAGGCCCAACTCCCACTCATGGAGCCCTGCGGGTGCCAGGCACTGACCTCATCCCTTCCAGCAGGCAGGGCAGTGAGGAGATGTGGCCTGGAGAGGCCTTCCCTGCGGCCCCACATAGGCAGATGTGAACCCTTGTCCACGGATCCTGAGTCTTTCCCCTCTAAGTAGCCATCAGTTCCTGCAACCCGGCCTGTACTTCCTCTTTCCCAAGATCCCACACTGAGGGCCATCCTGACCCTCGCTGCCTGGTCTGGACACTTGTGTAGGTCACCATTTGGTCCTCCACACCTGGACCCAGCCAACTGTTCCTGTAAAGGACCAGAGTAAATGTTTTAGACCAGTGGGTGGAGCCAGGTGTCAAACAACTTCATTTATGAACACAAAAATTTGAATGTCATGTCATTTTCATTACAAAATCTTCTTTTTACTTCATCTATTCAAAAAATGTAAAATCTATTCTTAGCTCACAAGCTGTGTGGGGAATGGGCAGGGGACTGGATTAGGTCTCCCGGCTGTGGTTTGCCAATCCCTGCTTCCAAACAACACTTGTTTCCATCTGGGGGTGGAGAGGCTGAGGCTCTCCCATCAGCAGGGGAAGGTGGTGTTGCGAAGTATCCCTGGGCCCTCAGAATGCAACTTCAGGGCCTCCTCCATAGTTGTGGGTTCCCTGATGTTAGTGCCACACCCCCTCATGAGTGCGTCCCCAGCTCCAACTGACCTGAACCTTGCCTTTGGCAGAACCTTCCGTCTTCTGCCCAGGGTGGAGAATGTTCTCCATCTCTTCCTTCCTGTCACCTGAGACAGAAATGCCTGCACCTGCACGGCAGAGATGCTGTGTGTCCTGGACCTCGGCACATTACCCTGGAGCTGCCCAACCTGTCTCTGGTTCCCAGCTCCTGCTCTTCCAAGTGATTCCTATCCTAGGCCTATCCTGATTGGCTGAGCTGCCTGCCAGTCAACAGCTATCTGTCTCTTGTTTCAGTCTGGGCATCCTCTGCCTTTGTGTGGGATGGAGTGGATGGGTCCTAGAGGCCTTGGGCAAGCTCCTTTACCCCTCTATGTTTCAGCCTACTCATAGGGCACAGAGGCCCTGGCCCCAATCCCTGATCCAGTCTGGGTGAGAAAGCTGAGGCCAGCCCAGGTTGCCCAGGGTCTGGAAAGTTGGGGGAATGCCAGTTTCTCTTCCACATGGACCTGAGGCCACTAAGGCTGGGGCTTTGCCCATGAACTTTCCCAGCTTCCTCCTTGCCTGCCAGACCAGAGTTCCATGAGCAGTCACTTTGGTCCTCATCACCTAACTGTCACCAACTGTAAGATAGAAAGCAGGTTCAGGCTAGTTCTGAAGTGAAACCTTGTCACAGAAGAGACACCACAGGCACCATGGGCAGAGCAGCCCTAGCTGAAGTTGTCCACAATAATTTTATGGGAAAGGATTTGAAGATTCAGGCCTTTCTTCAGGAAAGGGAGGAAACTTTGAGTGTGCATGCCCCACTTTGCATATGGTTCTAAATATGCTAATATTGGTGATTATATTGCAGGGCAGAGATCTTACTATGCCAACATATTACAGTGTAGGTAAAATGAGGCTCAGGATCACTTTTCAGTCAGATTTGTCAACATCTTGGTGGCGCCTGGTCTAATCCTGTCATCTGTAGTCTGCAGCTTCCTGTTGCTATTTACTTGCTGGCATGTTCCTGCCATAGCCACACCTGCAGGTCCCCTATGTCAGCCAGAAAGAGGAATCTGGCCATCCCTGCAGATGCCTTTATGGCCTGGATTTTTCCCCAAGTGAGCACTTCACAGGGAAAGGAGCACGGGCTCTGGATCCAGGATGGCTTATGCGCTGTGTGACATGGGCAAGTCACAGCCTGTCTAAGCCTCAGGTCTCCCCCAGGGATGGAAATAACTCATCTCCCAGGCTGTTGGGAAGATTAAAGGGTTTGAGGGATGAGAATGGCCACCTGAGGCAGGTGCTACTCTCTGCAGTCCCTCCTTGGACCTCTGTAGCCCCTGAACCTACCCTTTCCTAAGAGCTGTCATTTTCTGCATCCCACCTTTCCTTCTGTGAAGCCATCCTGGAGACCCCACCTGCCCAGGGGACATGAGAGCCAGCCAGTGGAGAAACCCTTCACGGACTCTTTGGAACTGTGTGACAGAATTCCCAACTGGAAGGGTTCTCCCCCTTTTCCAGGGGCACAAGCAGTTGACAGCACGAGTTTGAGATGCTCAGCTCTCAATTGCAGTTAGATGAGGTTCTCCCTGTGAAGCAAGGACCTATCTGGACTGCGGGGGTCTGGGAGAATATCCAGTGGGGCTGAATGAAGCAGGTCACTGGTAGGTGAGAAGAGGTCACCTGGCCTGGCTCGGGTAAGATCTCTCACCAATAACTGATTTGTCCTGGAATTTATGAAGGGGCTGTGGTGTATTGGGCACTGTGCTGGGGCCGGAGGAGAGGAAACAATAGCTGTCCTTGTAGTGTCCCAGCAGGCCTTCCCCTGGCCAGGCTGAGTAGGGCATCTCAGATCCATGGTTCTGTGACATGGGAGAGCCGTCTTCTCCTCTTGGGTGACCACAGGGATGCTGTTGTGCCCAGGTTCCCTGGCCCCAGTCCCTGCTGGTCTGCAGTTCTCAGACACTGGCCTTGGACCCTGTGAGCTGGAAGAAACATCTCATGTCTCATCTGCCCTCCCTAAACTTTTGTACCAGCTTGGCTTCCGTGCCACCTGTGACAGGGGTCTTACAACCACCCAAGCGGCCTTTCTTTGGACAGTTTTTCATCATGCTGTGCCCAAAACTGTCCTTCAAAGAGGCAGCTAAAGAAAACTCACAGCACTGAACCTGACCTCTGGGGTGGTCGTGAGCCTTCTCCCTATCGGAATCACTGGAGATGTGTGGAATGGAAGCTGAGCTCCCACTTGGCTGGGAGGCTGGAGATGGGTGAGGGTGTGGGGGAAGGGCATGTGTAGGCAGGGACATTTGGAGGAGGAAGGGGTGTGAGCAACCTAGACTCACCTATCTTTCCCTCTGCCCTGCAGCCCGATCCTCCCCTCCACAGGACAGCAGGAATGCAACTGGCCTGGTGCCTGTCCCCCACCCCAGCCCAGCTCTGCCCATGCAGTTGTCCCAGGCCAGCTGTCCCAACCCAGCTGCCCAGCACTGGCTCCCTGTTCCCACAGGGCCTGTCAGGACTTGGGAGGATGCAACAGCAGCTAGCTTCCCTCTCCCCATGTCACCCCACTCCTTGGACCTCGGCTGGGGAGGCCACAATGTACTCAAGCATGGTGTGTGTGTGTATGTGTGTGAGCTCAGAAGCACAGCTGGTGTCATTCAGGGTGATTGTGGGCCCCATCTTAGAAGTACTGGTTAAGTGCCTTGTGGCCTGTCTCTATCTGGGATCTTAACTTGGGATCAATGGATTTCCTGAATGGGTTTTATGGGGTCCATGAACCCCTAGAAATTATTAGCAAGATGCTACCTACACATGAATTTTCTAGGAGAATCTGTGACCCCCAAAACGTTAGTAAGTACTAATGACCCTATGCAGCATATAAAATTACATTGTTGAAGAATGTTTTCTGGGTATGCTGGGATTGTAGAATGAAAACAGCAGGCTACCAAACTATCGATACAAGATGAGTGTGAGTTTGTTCAAAACCATCACTCACAGGAAGTATATATAGCTACTTAAAATGATGACAAAACTGTTATCTCTTGGCGACATAACAGTTTTGTTTGATTTGTGTCTTTCTGCGTTGGTCGGATGTTTTACAAGGCTTATTTCCCTTAATGGGGGGAGGGGAACTCAGTCCCTTTTCTGAGAAATCAGAACCCCTCCACATCCCCAGAGCCCCAGCCCTGGTCCAAGGGTGTGTTGTGAAGAGTTAGGGAGCACACTGTACCTCTCACCTGTGGGTCTCTGTCAGTCACTTGTTAACTTCTTGACCTTGTAACTTAGACCAGCTCCTCTGTGGACAAGTCCCAGTGCTTGGGCTTGTGGAGGTAAGGGTGTCCCCACACAGGCACTTCCCTCCAGTCACAGCCCCACCAGTGGCTGACCTAGATCAGAGACTGCTTAGAGGAACTTGCTTCCCAGCTGTGTGGCTTTGGAAGGCTATCCAGCCTCTCTGAGCCTCAGCACTCCCGAAAGCAGGGCCAGTGGTGGATGCCACATCACAGAGAGACTGAGATGATTTGGTGCTAGGGAATCACAGCACCGGCAGGCAGCCCACCCCGCCCTCCCTCCTCCTGGCCCCATGCTACCCTCCTGACCTACCTGCTTTTTCTCCTCTCCCCAGGGAGCACCAGAATCTGCAGGATGGGGGCGGCCTGTATCAAGGTCACCAAATACTTTCTCTTCCTCTTCAACTTGCTCTTCTTTGTAAGTATGGCCAGCACAGCCCCACCCCACTCACCTCCAACAGAAACTGCTCCCTCCGAGGGTCTCCATGCCTGAAACCCTCCAGAGACTGGGGCCTGGTGGTGGGGTGTGGTTGCTGGGAGCCCAGGACAGACTGTCCCAGGGGACAGGGTGGGGGCGGAACTGAGATTCCTGGCATTCTCAGCTGGCTCTCTGACAAGACACTGGTCTCTTTCCAGCCTGTCCTCTCCTAGAGCCCTCTTCCAGGGCTGCCCAGGTCCCCACCCCCCTTAAGTCTGCCCTCCCTCCATATTCCTCCACCTGTGTGAAGAGCTTGTCTGTTACAGCTCCAGCTCTTAACAGCCCAGACACCCCACCCCTGAGCTCCCAGAGGCTGAGCAGGAGGAGGTCAGGCACAATAGGGATACTTTCCCTCCCCCCAAGTTCCTCTGACCACAGGTCTGCCCAGATGTGGGCTCCATGGTACATCTGGAACTGGTTTTCCTGAGGCCTTGGGTTTCCCCTCTAGCCTGGCAGTGCTGACTCCTGCCTTGGAGCTGCCAGGATAGTGGTGTGTGTGCATGTGTGTGCTCATGTGCGGACACGTGTGTGTTCATGTGTGTGCAGGCATGCATGTGTGCTCGTGTTATGCATGTGTGCACAGTGTGTGTGTGCGTCTGGGTGTATGCGTGCATAGTGAGGGTGTAAGCAGCTAGAGAGGCCTTCACAGCCCCAGAGTAGAGTTGGGGCTATGGCTTCCCCATGTTCTATGTTTACCTTGAACTTAAAAAACAATCAGGTTCCACAATAAGGTGTTTATTACGATCTAATTTCATTTTTTTGTTTCGTTTTGGGGGGCACTGGGGTTTGAACTCAGGGCTTCTTGCTTGTTAGGTGGGTGCTCTGCCACTTGAGCCATGGCTCCAGCCAATTTTTTTTTTTTTTTACAATGTACAGATTCATAAAACTGTGTTTTTAAGAACAGAGGAAAGCACCTCTGGTGGTTAGCTTTGGGGTTCCTGGCAATTGAGATTTTATTCTTTATGCTTCCCTGGGAGTAGATATAAGCTACTTGTGGGGAGAAGTTTTACATTACAAGTTATATCAAATTATAGGAAATTTATATAACAAAGAGTCATTCTGAATTCCCCCTTCATGACTTTAAGCTGATGTAGAGATACAAGGGTGTTTCTGGCACATGTACACACACAGACACACACACAGACACACCCCGCCGTGGGCAACCCTGGTGCATCTTCCCTGCCACTTGCTCACCTGGCTCCACCCCAGCTCCATCCTCATGTACTATTCTGGCCCCACCATGCTCATGGTAGCCAGTCCTAGAATCTTCCTGCTCAGTAGAGAATGGCAGTGGGATGGGTGAGTTTAGCCTGGGTGTCTCTTCCCGTCCTACCCCAGGCTGCTCCTCCATGGAACCAGAGACTAGAAATCCCTCTCTCTGGCCAGAACTTTGGGGCTTGGCCTCTTCCCAGCTCCTCAAGGGGCTGTCAGGGGTCAGGTGTCGTCTGTGTGCTGGGGCCCTGATGACCCTTCAGGAAGGGGGAGGGAAAGAACAGGATGGAGGAGTGGGTGTGCCTTCCTTCACCCGCCACCCCTTTAACAAACGTGCATAGTTCACCGTCAGCCCTCAGCATCCACGGGTTTTACATCTGTGGTTCCACCCACTCCAGTTCCACTTGCTATAGATGGAAAATATACTTGTCTTCTTATTCCCTAAAGGATGCAGTACAACCACATTTACACAGTATTTACATTGTGTCAAGTACTCTTTAGTAACCTAGGGATGGTTTCAAGGCTAGTGGAGGATGTGCGTAGGTTACAGGCAAATATTATAAGTATTACACGCCATTTTTTATAAGGAACTTCAGCAACTGTAGCCTTGTGATCCTGACACCCGTCTCCTGGCGGATATGGAGGGCTGACGGTATTGAAGGCCTGTGTATCCAGATATCTGCAGGCAGAGAAGGAGCGCTGATTTCTGCGCTCCATGCATGTTTGGCTCACTCTGACTTCAGGCAACTCATTTCTCCAAACAGCATAAGATTGCAGGGATCGTGGGTGCCTGGAATGAAGGATGAGGCTCCTAGAAGGCTGGTTGCAGGTTAGCCAGGACTTCCTGTTGTGACATGGGGCCGGGGAGAGAGGTCCCAGTAGCAGGAGCCAAGCCCAGCATGGAGTCGGGTCCAGTGAGCCTGTGCAGGGCATCAGCTGTGCAGCACTTGGAAGTGCTGGCCTTGGTTTGAGGCACACTGGGAAGGGTTACAAGATTAGATTGATGGCTTTGAAAAAATCTCTCAGGCTGCCGTGTGTGCTCACGCATGCATGTACACGTGCACATCCTTGCTGGCACTTCCTCCTGACCCCACATGCCCCAACACGTTACTCTGGATGCTTGCTCACTTTTCAAAGGAATCCAGAGGTGCTATTGCTATGGCCCTCTGAGAAAAGGAGCAGACATAAGTGTCTGGCTCCTAGCTGGGCCCATCGGGAGCTTGGGCCGGGCTGGGGATTGGTTATTGTGGGGTGTGCTCCACAGCCCCAATCTTGATTCATAGAGAAAGGGGTGCCATGATGCCTCACAAAGCAGCAGGCCTCCTTCCTGTCTGTCCCATGGTCTGGCAGCTGAGCTGGCCACACCTCCTGGTCAGGCTGTGGTCATTGTCCTACAGGGCAGCATTGGGGACTTCCCTATCTGGGTTTGTCTTGTTGAGCTGGCTGGGCAGTCTGGGGTTTGATCTACTTAGAATTATTTTACCAGAGGGAATTTTCTGCCTTGCCCCCCACCCCCTTTTTGGAGAGGTTGCTTTCCCTCCTGCTGTACCCCGTGAGTGCAGGGGGAGGAGGGAGAGGCAGGGGACTTTTCCTTGGTACATTTGAGGACTAGCTTGTCTTGCTGTGCTGCAGGGCAGGGTGGGGATGGGGTGACCAGGAGTCTTTGGGAACCAGACTCTCAGGTCCTGAAAGTCCCCTTCCTCCTTGAAGGCTGCCCCCAGTGGCACCTTCCTTTCCCCAGACTCTTGATTGTTTTTCTGTCTACGGAGACTGGCTTTGTGGACTAAGGCCAGGATACATCCTAAATATCCTCACAGCTTTCCAACAATCCTTTGGCTTCCAATCCTTGGTAAATCCTGGCCTCAGTTTCCTTGTGTGTAAAATGATAACAGCAGGGATAATTTGACCCTGTCCTGGGAGGAGAGGACAATGGTTCCTCCTTTGGTGGAGGCACCAAGGGACCAGCGTGGGTAGCCGCACACCCTTCTGCCAGCTTTGGTGGTCTTTGAAGGAACAGGGACTAGGACAAGCAAGTGAGGTGGCTCTGCACCCAGCTGCCCTGGGGCCTGAGGCAGAAAGGAAACATGAAGTATGGATCCAGTGAGAATCATATTTCCAGGTTTGATAGTTCATCCCAGATTTTTTGCATTAGTTTTATTTTAAAAGAGTATTGTTTCTTCCTCCTCCCCCCATTTCTCCCTATTTTTATCCTGTTATATTACATTTCTTCCCTAATAAACCTTACTATCATTTTCACTATAAGAAAGAAAGTATTACTGCAAAGCAGTTGTTATTTGTGACTGAGGTTTTGGTGGCTCCTTGCTTTTTGCACACAAGGCCCAGGCCTCATGCCTTCCTCACTCCATCTCTGGTCTTTAATAACCATGGAATGAGGTTGGTGGAGACCGTGGGCCCACTGCTGACCCCAGGCTGAGACTTTGGGGCAGCTGCTGGCTTTGGACTTGACATGAGATTATGTGGTGATGGCTCAGGTGGAAACCCAGGTGTGGTGACAGACGAGGGGCTCCAGGTAGACCCGGTTGGGGCCCCAGGTACAGCCACAGGGTCACCCTGCCCTCAAAGGGAACCTGTGCCTTTGTGAGATTGCAGGAGCTTCCCTGGCCTTAGCTGGCTTTGTGGGGTGGCAGATCTAGCTGGGACTCCACCTGGGAAGGTAAGCTCGGGATTGGGACCTCACCCTGATGAAGGTCAGAGAGTTGCGAATCTTTGGGCCTGGAGCCGTATTCTGTCACCCTCACACCTCAGTCATCCCTCATTCCAGCCCTGCATTGATGCAGGTAGGTTTAGAGCGCTGTCATTACTTTCCCTGTTCCACATCTGGTGCTGCAGGGTGGCCAGGTGACAGTGCTGCAGCCCCCAAGCCCTGCAGCCACTGAGCCCCACCCTCTGGGAGCCCACAGTCCAGTGGAGAAGCAAACACAGCAGGACTTGGGGCCCATGGTGACAGTGATTAAACAGGGCCAGACAGTAATGGTTGTGACAGCACAGGGGACTGTGGAGGCAGGGAAGGCTCTTGGAGAGGGTGACCTCTTTCCTGAGACCTGAAGGATAAGCTGGACCTCGATACTCAAGTACATGAAGGGTCTTCCCCAAAGCCAGTCTTGTTAGGGAGGCTGCAAGGCCCAGAGCTGGACTGGGAAGAGGGGACATACACAGGAAAGGACCAGGAGACAAGGCATGGGAAGGGCCCCCTGGGTAGGAGTCCCTAGGGTGACCTCATGGGTAGGAGGCAGCTGGGACTCCCTGTACCTGTTCCTGCATCTGGGTTGCTTGGGTTTAGACCTGAGGCCATTTTGGACTCCCTGGGCTGGATGAAGACTGAGGTGCCTTCCTCTGAGTCCCACCTGACCCCCCACTAACTGTCCCTCTCCTTCTAGATCCTGGGTGCCGTAATCCTGGGCTTCGGGGTGTGGATCCTAGCTGACAGGAGCAGCTTCATCTCAGTCCTGCGTAAGAAGCTTCTGTTTCCCCTGTCTGAGCTGCTCAGGGGTGGAGCACCGGTGGGCACAGCTGCTCCCACAAGTAGGATGCTCCAGCCATCCTAGGGATGCATCCAGCTCCTGGTGCCAACTGCTGTGCACAGGTCTTGTGGGATTTCCAGGAAGAATTTTCTCCTCCTCCCAAACAAAACCACTGTTGTCCAGAGATCACTGGGCAGTGGAAGAGCTGATTCTCCTTGCTAGCCCCTTCTGGCCTCAGAAGAGCCTCTTACATACTCTGTCCCTGAATTTGCCTGGGAGCAAAATGTGGTTGATGGTAGCTCCCTCCACATTTCAGAGAGATGAAGGAGCTGCGACAGACAGACTGTCTGTACTGGTGAGGCACACACCTGAGCCAGGCACTTGCTGGGTGTTCTGGGCATGTGTATAGATGAGGAAGGTCCCAGGTGCAGCTAAGGGTCATCGCGCACCATGCGTGTCATGTCTGTGCACGGCCTTAACACCACAACAGTCCCGTGGGGCAGATACTGTACTGTCCCTGCCTTACAAACAAAGAAACACAGGCTCAGAGAAGTTAAGTCCCTGGCTGAGGTTCACACAGCTCCTGATCCCTCATCCCCCTCCTCAGAAGCAGAGGACAGAGCCCAAGTTGACCCTGCATGATGACAAAAGCCCTCCAGAGCCCTCAGGCCTCACATCTCCCCCAGGAGCCCTTTGGGGTTCTGTACAGGCCTGCCCTGGTCAGGGAGCAAACAGATGCGAACCCCTCCTTTAAGCCATGGCTCACTTCCTGCTCAGCAGCTGCCCAAGGCAGCCTGTTTGGACTCTAGCCCATGACAGCTGCTTGATTTGGATAAAATGAAACCCAGCTAAGATGCAGAGTTGGAGGGGCCACACATGTTGCCCTAGCCTAGATGGAAGGGAGTCTGATCCACGACCCCTCAGTCTTGCCTTCTGTGGTTAAGGTCTGGTTTCCTGCCTCAGAACCCAACATACTCCCTGTGCCCTCCTGACACGGGACACACCCTCCACCCTGATCAGGCTCAGGCTTCCCACACCCAACAGGCACAGGGCAAAGTCTGAAGGGCCTCCTACAGTTCTGCACCAGCTGTGCCCTGCCCTGGGGGTTGAAAAGGCTGCTAGATGCCCCAGCGTGATTTTATAAATACCAGGGCCTGGGGCCCCACCCTGCTCAAGGAACCTGAGTCCGTTTTCATGGGTGGGGCCTGAGCACTGTGCTATTTAAAACACTCCTCCTGGTGGTTCCCAGGCAACCCTGGTTTAGACACATGAATCCCAGAACCTAGAGACTGTGCATCTGGAGAAACTGAGGCTGGTGGAGTCCCAACTTGCTAAGAGTCACATAGCAAGTGAGGGTCAGAACTGGGAGCCAGAGCTTCTGATCTGCTCTACACTGGGCCTGGATAACTCAGCGCTCTCATTACCTTGTTGAAATCTCACTGAGTCTATGGTGTGTTATAGATAAGGAAATCCAAGTACAGATAGGCAGAGTGGCCTGTCCAAGGGCATCCAGCTAGAAGGCAGGGGAACCAGAATATAAGTCAGGTGGCAAAACTCTGCTCTGTCCCCGGATCGAGAGAGGCTGTGTGCAGCCATGGTCAAGTGCCGGGTTTGGAGCCAGTACCATGACCCTTTGCAAGTTACTTCACCTCTGTGTGCCGCCTCACCTATAAAATAGGGAAGATAATAGAGTGCCCCTCAGAAGGCTGCTGTGAGACATTAGAGTCTCATTTCTATAGGAAAAGAATTTAGGGCCGCTTCTAATGAATCATAAACTACCTGAGCGATTGTTAAGAGCATTTTATAATTCACTGCGATCCTTACACTCTCCATAAGGAGCAGGACTTAGCCTCCTTTTAGAGGAGGAAATGAAAAATGATCTTTGCAGAGTCAGAGCAGGAGGGGCAGGACTTGGAATCCATTCTCCTGGTGCCTGGTCCCCAGTGAGGGCCTCCTCCTGTCTACCTCCCCAGTTCCTGCCAGCCCCGCCCTGCCCGTAACACTCAGGTTTCCTTGCTGTGCACAGGGGATGGGCTACCCCAGGAAGGACTCCCTGCCTCCTTCCTGAGTCAGGCTGCCCAGATCTGAGGCAGCCCTATGACCCTAAGGAGGTCAGGGACTGGTGTCCACCAGAGATGCAGAGAAACTGCGCTGGAGAGGCCGGCCGGCCGAGCTGTGGGGTCTCCATTTCTCAGAACCTCTGGTTGATAGCAGTGCCCATTTTCCCCACCCTTGGGGGCCAGGCTCCTGTGCCTTAGCTTCCCCAAGCCTCAGTGCTCCTGGACAAACCGGAGTGTGAATTCACCTCCACAGGCTGTGGCTGGGGTGCACAGGGTCTTAGGAGGCTGGCACCCTGTACCCTTGTTACCCTTTCTTTTGGAATGAACCGTTGGAGCCCAAGCCCAGGAAGGTTAGAGGTGGCACAACTGGCCTCTCCCTGTGCGTGTTGCCTGCTGACCGCCAGTGCAGTAAGGCCCAGAAAGAGGTAGCTGGGTGCCAGGAGCCCCCAGGATCCCTATTTGGGTTCTGCAGAGCTTCCTGGGGGTTTCCATTAGGAGCTGAGCAGGAGCAGCCCTGCCTCAGCAGCCCGAGTGTGGGGTGGGTCATCCAAGGCTCTTCCTCAGCTCCAGAACTTTCCACATGTGACCAGGATGTGATGTCAGATCATTCGGCCTCTAACCACCCACCCTGCCTGTCATTCTTCCTAAGGGCACTGTTGTCCCTTGGTGACCAAAGCAAGGAGCTTGGTCTCTCCAAAGATCCCCAGAGACTCAGCCAGACAGGCCTATGCTCGTCCTGCTAGGGGTCAGGGGTCAGCCTGGGTGTGCCTCTGTCATTGTGTGTGGGGGGGCTGTCACATGAAAGATACCTTCTCCTGGGAGTTTGTCCAGTTGTGATGGCTGAGGAAATTGCATCTCTAAACTGACCAGGCACGTGTGACTCGGTTTATAATCCCAGCATTCAGGAGGCAGAGGCAGGGGAACTGGGGATTGCCAGTTCCAGGCCAGTCTGGGCTACACACCCAGCACCGCAAGCATCACTGTCTGAGGGACTCCTCTCTCTCCCACTGCTCATCTTTTCTCTCCTTCTTGTTTCTCCAAACACGAAGCTCTCTCCTCCTTCTGGCCTTTGCACCTGCTGTGCCCTCTGCCAGGAATGCTCACATGACCTCTGCCCTGCCTGCCCCTCCCTGCTTCACAGTCCTCTGCAGCACTGGCTGCTTTATCTCCTTGTGGCCTTTCACTCAAAAGGCTGTGTTGTTCACTTATTGTCCTCCTGCTTCTTTATCCCCAGCCCTGGGCACAGGGCCGGGCACGAGGTGGGTACCCGGATATATTTGCTGTGATTGAATGAAGAAGCATCAGTTCTGCCCCATGCAGTACTGCAGAAAATGTGCCATCAGAGGACTGTGTTTCCCAATCTCCATTCTGGCCCTTGCCTGTGTCCTCTGGGCTTTGGTTTCCTTTCTGTGGCGTTTCCCTGCTGGTGCCTGCCAGGCGGGGTTGTGCCAGAGAGGGAGGCTGGATGTGCATCATCCCCGAGACACAGTGAGAGAGTCTAAGGACCAGAGGGAAGGTGGGGTGAAAGCCAGCCTGGAATCTTCAGTATATGGCCTGCACAGAGCTGGTGGACCCCCTGGCCCATCCTTCACTAACTCAGCAGATGCTTACATGGCGCTCACTGTGGCAGGCATGTTCTGCCTGTCACAGGCTCAGCGGGCACAAGCCGAGGCCCCTGCTTCTTGTAGCTCACCTTTATGGGGCTCAGAGCAGATCAGTCCTACGTAGAGTGCTTGCTGCTCGTGACTGCCACGGCAGAAGACAAAGCAGGGCCTGGTCTGGCTGGGTCGGGGTGGGGTGCAATTTTACAGGGGGCCCGGCCTCATCAGGAGACGCGGCTCTGAGGAGGGAGGGTGCGGGAGGCCTTCTGGGAAGCATGCTCAAGCCTCTTGCTGGTTCCTTAGTGGGTTGGGGAGTGGGCTTGGATTGCCAGCTGGGTTTTCTTTGCCTCTGTTGGGATGTTGTCAGTCCTGATGTCCTGTTAACAAGGATCACCTTCTCCTGTCTCCTAGAAACCTCCTCCAGCTCACTGCAGGTGGCAGCCTATGTCTTTATCACCGTGGGTGCTGTCACCATGCTCATGGGTTTCCTTGGCTGCATTGGTGCCGTCAATGAGGTCCGCTGCCTGCTGGGCCTGGTGAGTCCGGACCCCTCACTCTGCCAGGCAGGCCTCAGGACCATGGTGGTCCAGAGGCAGGCTGGGGAGCGGCTCCCCTCCCCAGGCGGGGAGGATGGGCACCTAGCGGGCTGCAGCTGACTCTTCTCCATCTGCTCCCAGTATTTTGCCTTCCTCCTGCTGCTCCTCATCGCCCAGGTGACCGCTGGAGTCGTCTTCTACTTCAATGCAGGCCAGGTAAGCACACTCCCCCGTCGCCCTCACTGGCTGGACCCACCACTGGGCACTGCCTCTGGGTGTGGATAGATAGGAAGGGCTCAGTGGTCGCAGACACATTAGGTGCCAGGGTCAGTCCCTGGGCCTTCTGCTCTGTGTGGGATGTTAGAGGGGAGGCAGCACATAGAGTTTCTCTCTGTGTGGCCTTGAACAAGTCACTTTCTCTCTGCACCTGTTTCACCACCCATGAACTGAAGATAGGAAGAAAACTTAACTCGGGGTTGGATTCAGTGAGGATCTTAGTAAAACCTTAGCACGGCACATGGCATGCCAGGTGGTTAACGAATGCTTGCCGTTTTTGTCGTTATTAAGGCATCTTAGCAGGAATTAAATCCATGCCAGCCACTTGGCCACAGTTGAGGCCCAGGGAGGAGACAGATAAGATGTCCTATGTCAGGAAAGTGTTGAGCTTTCAGGAATAGAAAATCAGATTTGCTATCGCTTAAACTGTAAGATGATTTGTTGTTGACTCATCCAAAAGTCTGGTTTGGAAGCTCAGAGACCCTGATTCTGGCTGACTGCTCAACATCCTAACTATGATGAATTTTACCTCATGGTCTCAAGATGGCTGCCACAGCACCAGGCACAGCATCTGCTCGATTGAGGCCAGAAGACGGGGAAAAGGGTAGTGCCTGACAGGGAAATCTTTCTTCTTAGGAAAAAAATGCCCTCCAACAGACTTTGGTAATAGTAACTAGGACCCCCACCGTGCTTGTGTTCCACATGTGCCATGTTCCAAGTTCAGTGCTGGTCACTTTACATTGTTCCCTTACTAGTCCCTAACTCCCGAGAGGGCATAGGAGGTCAAGGTTTCCAGCGGGGTCAGGCCAGGGTTTCAACTCCATCCAGAGTCCCCTTGCCCAGGGGCATATGGCCCCGTGTGGCTTGCCTCCCACCTGTGCCGCCGTTCTCACCCCCCAGCAGCAGGCACTCCTGTGTTTTTACCTCTTGAAGGTCAAGTTGCCTCAGGTCCCTCCTGGAAGGAAGCTGAGAAACATTGACGTTTAGGAGAAGCTGGAACAAGTTATCCTAGGTATTCCGTGTACACCATGTTTGATCACGCCTCACAGCAGTGCCGTGAGATTGGGGCTATGAGCACCCCAGTTTTGTTTTTTGTTTTTGTGTGTGTGTGTATGTGTGTGGTATTGGGGTTTGAACTCAGGGCCTCACAGTTGCTAGGCAGGTGCTCTACCACTTGAGCCACTCCACCAGTCCTTTTTTGTGTTGGATACTTTTGAGATAGAGTCTTGAGAACTACTTGCCTGAGCTGGCTTCAAACCACCATCCTCCTGATCTCTGCCTCCTGAGTAGCTAGGATTACAGGCGTGAGCCACTGGTGCCTGCTAGTATCCCTGTTTTTAGATGTGGGAGCTGAGGTTCAGAGAGGTTAAGCTACGTGCTCAAGTTTACACAGCTAGTAAGTAACAGAGCCAGGATTGGAACTCAGGCATCCCAGCTTCTGAGTTCAAGCTGATGCATTTTCATTGTGGGAATTCCTGCTTTATTTATGATCCACATAGAACCTGTTTCTTAGGTAAATTGAAGCTGGTACCCAGGGTAGCTAAAATCGAAATAAGACAGAACAGAACCTATACTGAGAAGAAAACTATTACTTCTGAAACCAGGGGCTGAGGTATTTATAGCAGCTGAGGGCTGACTTGAGTACTGAGCTTCCTAGCAACTAAGGCAAAAAAGGGAAATAGTGGATTCACTAGATGAAAGGAAGCTCATTTGTCTGTCAGACAGGAAGCCAGTGGTTAGGGGAGGGAAATTTTTTTCCCAGCGAAGGGGGCTAGCTTCAGGTACTCATTTCTGCCCTATGGTACCTGGGGCCTCTCTAGAACCCAGTCAGTGGTATATTATAATTAGGGTGGGTAGGAACTAGGCCCCAGTGAGCTGGTTCCTGTGACTCAGAAGTTGGTGACCTCTGCGAGGGTCTCAGACAGTCACTCTCATCCATGTGAGCCACCATCCCACGGTAAGAAAGATAGCACCCAGTGAGCGAGCACCAGGAGATGGATTGTACTTGGCACATTTCAGCTTTACAAATGCTTTTCATTTTAAGAAACTGAGGCCTGGAAAAACAAAGTGACTTGGCCACAGTCACACGTAACTTGGATGCAGCAGAGTGGACATTTCTACCCCAGACCCTCTGACCCTAGGCCATGGGTGTCTGTGGCCCATGGGGCCTCCCCATGGCTGCAGTTTCAAGGGTCCTCAGCCCCAATGGAGGCTCGATTGAAGAATCAGGTCCCCACTCCGAACGCAGCTCTGTCCATGGACCCCACAGTGCCCTCTATGGCCTCCTCCCTACCCCAGGTGCCCAGCAGTCACTGAACACCCTTTCTGGGGGAGGCACTTTCCTGGCTGTGCTGGGGAAGGCCTGCTGCCCATAACTCTGAGCTGGGAGGAGCAGCTTATTCAGCTCCCAGGACTTGTAAATCCTGGTGGAGCCTAAACAATCTTTTCTGGGGTTCATTCCTGCAGACCAGGCCTGCGGGGGCGGGGACTTGTCTGAGCCTGAGGATGAGGCCTTTTGGAAGGAGATGGCTCAGTCCTTTTCCCCTAGGCCTCCTGGGCAGTTGGGCAGCGTGAGCCCCAGTGTCCCCTGGGTTGAAGTGGACACAAACCATGACACTTTCATCAAATATAATACTCAGGAATCAGATGGCCTGCGTCTGTGACCTGGGTGGTCACTCTGCCTCTCTGTGCCTCAGTTTCCTCTTGTTGAATGACAGTAATAAGAAAGGCCCATGTTTCTTATCTGCAATTCTAGAATCAAAAATCCTTTGAAAAACAGCAGTTGTAACTCAGGCAGTGGCAACATCAACCTGAGGGAGGGGAGGGAGGAAGGAAGGGAGGAAGGAAGGCTCTGAATTTGCTCAAGCGGATGTCCCTCTTGAAGCACATATGGGAGCGATGGTGGGGTTCAACATGTCCTCCATCCCTTTTTAAGATCTGATCATTTCTCAGTGTTGGGCTGAGGGCCAAATCCCAGTGCCACAGATGAGACGTGCAGGGATGGGAAGGGCATTGCACGGTGCCTGCCCAGAGCAGGTGTTTGTGGCATTGTTGCAAGTGGTCATTGCTCCTGCCACCATTGGTGACATTGCCAGAACCTGCAAAGGCCCCATGAGTGGCAGCTGTTGTCAGTTTTAGTACCTGCAAGAGCTGTGGGATCCCGTGTGAAGCCCCACCCCTCTGGCTGGCCCCGCTCTGTGTGTTCATTCCACCTCCTTTGCATGGACAGAGCCCAGGTCCGGGATTCAAGACCCTGGCTTCTGGGGTAGCTCTGATAATGAAGCTGTGTGGCCTTGAAGAAGTTACTCAGCCTCTCTGAGCTGTGTGTGGCCTTTTGGACCCTTGCCAGCTGAGTCTGGGGTTCTGACTTACCCTCCCTGGACAGTGGAGAGAAGGAGGGTCAGAAGGAAGGCAGGGAGCATGTGCTGTTTCCTTTCTGGGCACTGGGCTGTAAATTAAGCTTTCCAACACCCTGAGCAGGTGCAGCCTGGGGCCTCTGAGAGCCCAGGTGAGGGACACCAGCTGAGGGGCTGGGGGCAGACAGCCTGGAGGGGAAGGGGCTCTTGCAGTCAGGGTGGGGCTGGGTGGAGCAGTGCTGTGGGCTGGCCAGGCTGCTTCCCAGGGAGAATGGTTAGGAAAACTGGGAAATCTCCCCACCCAGGACTCCCAAAGTCACCAGTGTACACATGCTGTGTGGCACAGGTGGTAAGACGGGTTCCCAGGGGACAAAGCCATTCTCTATGAGCTGCCACCTCCTGTGATGGGAACACCCTGACTCACTGGCTGAACTGGGACTGGGACAGGTGACCTTTCTTTTCCCTGGTGGGAAGGGAGAAGGAGGTGTCTGGGCTGTCCTTCTGTACGGTGGTCAGGAGGGACACCAAGGGAGTTTTCTCAAGTGGGTCTGGGACCAGCTCTGCGTGGGGAGCTGACAGGCGCCGGGACATGGCGTGGGTCCTACTGCATTCTGGGGAATTGATTATGTCCATAGCAGCTGGGCTTTCTGGAAAGCCTCAGGGGGTCCACTAGAGTAGACATGGCTGCCCTCACAGCTATGGCATGACAAAGGCCTGTTCCATAGCAGGACTCCAGGGGGAGGCCTCCGAGCTGGCAACTGCCCCAGCAGAGTGACTGGCTATGTCCCCATGAGAACCCTGGGAGGGGCAGGGAGGCATGGGCCCATGACCTTGCATTTGGGACACCCCCTTAGAAAGGGTGACCTGATACATTAGAGAGTGCAGAGAGAGGTCGGAGCACCATCCCAAGGAGGCTGGAACATTTCCCCAGAGAGGAGGGTAAAGGGCCTCGGGATCTGGGACAAATCTGAGAGACATTTGTCGTGGGAAAGAGGGACTTGATTTGCCCTGTGTGGTCCCAGCTGGGATGCAGGGGACAAAAGGGGGAATGCAAAATAATCCCAGTGAGTAGAAGTCATGCCAAGAGCCCCTCCCCCAAGCCCCGTGATGAGCTGTTGTGTGAAGCACAGAGCTCCCCATGCTGAACTCGAAGGTCTCTGAAGGTCTCTCCGGGTCTGGCCCTTAAGAGTCACACCATGAAATACCAGTATAGCCTTGGAGTGGGGAGCTCTCCAGTCAGGTAGAGACAACTGGTGGCTTGCCATGGTGGGGACCTCAGGGCCCAGGAGCTGCACAGACCATCACTGCTATGACCAAATCAGCTAGGGGAGCAATTTACTTTTTCTTTTTGGCAATACTGGGGTTTGAACTCAGGGCCTTGCACTTGTCACGCAGGCGCTGTGGTGCTTAAGCCACTTAGCCAGCCCTAGGGGAACAATTTTAAAAGAGGAAGGATTGGTTTTGGCTTGTGGTTTCAGAGAGTTCAGTCCCTGGTCACTTGGCAAAGCATCATGGCGGTAGGAGCATGGCAGAGGCTACTGACTTCATGGTGGACAGGAAGTAGAGGAGGAGGAATGGTCTAGGGATCACAAATACCCTCAAAGACCCGCCCCAGTGACCTACTTCCTAAAATTTTCCCACCTCCCAAGATTGTGCTGTGAGCTGGGGTCAAAGGGATAGGCCTGTGGGTACCGCTTCATGTTCAAGCCATCGCCCCATACCTCTGCTGCTGCTCACTGTGATCTTGGCAACTCTGAACCTCCGTTTTTCCTCTGGGAAGTAGAGATGGTGGTGGGAGCAGCTGGATTCCCAGGCATGGGATCTGTGGAGTCACACATGGTCCTACACTGCTTGCTTTGATGTCCTGGGAAGATGTGCATTTGGGGGTCTTTCTAGAATCTGACACATGGAGGATGGGATACTATCCCAAGGAGCAGGTCAAGGAAGCTCTTGAGATCCTGAATTATTTTAAACAAGGACCCCATATCTTCACATTGCCTGGGCTGAACCTTATGCAGCCACCTTGATAACTTGGGGCAGCAACTCCAGTGAAAGGGTCCCGAGCTACCTGGAGGCTCCGCTGGATCCGGATCTCCCTGAAGCCACTAGGACTCAGTCCATCTCCACTGCTTGGCCTTGCTCTCCTCTGTTGGCCCCCTTCTAGGGCAGCCTGTCTTCAGTGGGGTCCCAGGTGAGCTGAGGCCCTTAGGTACCACCTTGGCAGGAAGAGACTGTGGGTCACAGACCTCCCCGAACAACTGGCTGTGCCCAGGGTGTATGTGCCATAGGTGGCAGCCCAAGTCTTGTGCCTGCCCTGCCAGGGGCTGTGACTGAGGGTCAGTCACCCCAAGGAAAGCCAAGGAAAGGAACGGTGGGAAAAACATAGCAACCCCGGAGGGGAAGGATGTGCTGAAGTCCCTCACTCTCCCTCCTCAGGCTTTCTAGTCTTAAAGAAACTCCCTGGTTGCCAGGGTGACCTGTCTGTCCTCCCAACACAGGTGCCCTGGGCGTTGGGATCCCCAGGCATCAACTCAGAGCTGAGCCAGCCCTGTGGCCCTGGTCCCTGGTCCCTGTGGCCCAGCTGTATCTCTGGACTGTGGAATGCCGTGCTGTTTCCATGGAAACCACCCACCCCTGTGGAAACCACCCGGCCTCCTCACCTTCTCCTGTCTGAGGCCCCCTGGGAGGGAGACAGGGAAGTCCGGCTGCCGTGGCAACCACATGGGGTATAAATAGAGCCTTAGGGCTGTGTGAGCGAGCTCGGTGGGTGGAGAAGGATGTGGACAGCCGCCTTTCTGCACAGATGCATCTGAGGACCCCCTCCTTCCCGTGCTATGGGGATTGGCTGCTCACTGGGGACTAGAGGTGGAGCGAAGATGATCAGGACAGACAGACTTACATTCTGCACACAGACAGCCTGGGTTGGTGACCCATAAACCACTTAGCATCTCTGGGCCCTAGTTTTAACCGATCCATTGCAGGGTGTGGCCATGTGGTTTAAATGCTGATAGAGCTTGAAAACTTGGGCTCTGGAATCAGACAAGCCTACATCCAAACCTCAGCTCTTCCACCTGCTGGCTGGCTGTGTGACCTTGGCTAAGTCAATTAACTTCTCTGGCTTTGTCTTCTGTGTCTTATAATGAGGAAAGGGATCAACACCTTAGGTGATAGTTCTGCTGTGATAGCACACTGAAAAGCGTGTGCCACAGCACCTGGTACACAACACACATTTGATATAGCCACTGTCTGTTGGGATGGCTGGCAGTAAAACTTTGTGAATTGCAGAACTCTGTGAAGTTTTAGTTTGAAGAAAGGTATTGTGCTAAGTTTTTCTGAGTGGGAGAGAAGTGCTGGGAGCTGTCCTTGGAGCTGGTTTCCCAAGGTGACTGGGGCTGGTGACCCAGGGGAGTGGTGAGGAGGCAGGCTCCAGGTCTAGCTGGAGGAGGTGGGCATCACGGGCATGAGGACTGACCTTAGAACCCCTTGTTGGAAGACCTGTCCTGTGTCCTCCAAGTCCTCTTTCTAGGGAACAGAGAGAAGCATGCATGTGGGCTTCCCTGGGGTATATGTGGCTTCTCTGGGTCCCTTCGCTTGGGGTTCCCACAGCTGAGCAGGTGGTCATAGTCTACCTGTCCAGGAAGACCTCTAGGCGGGGTGACAGAGGAGGATGGCTACAGCCTGACCACACTGGTTCCAGTGGGCCAATGGGTGAGGCTAGGCTCCTGAGAAGCTGCTGGAGTGAGGAGCTTGGTTTGGGGCCCTGGACAAGGCCTTGGGGCTGAATCCTGTGCTCCCTGCCTCCCTTGTAAATCAAGCTTTCTCTGTGGAGTCCTTCAGCCAGGTGTGTCTCTTCACAGGAGGTGGACTGGATAGAGCCTGGGGCGAGGGGGGGTGCATCAGACAGGTGTCCACACCCCACCCTCTGACAATTACTTTCACACCCTCACACCTGTGCCAGCTGCCGTCCATGGGACGGGAGCAGCTGCTTGATCCAGTGGCCAAGGCTCCTGCCTGCTGGCTGGGGCCCTTTTCTGAGAGCTGGGCTGTAGCCCTCTCCACAAAAGAAGTAAATTAGGACAAGATCTCACGTCCCTCCTCTGTGGGGTGGGGTTGTAACTGTGGTGGTTACGTATATGGACGTTTTTCATGTATGTGATGCTGCACACACACTCTGCACCCGGCTTCATTGTAGCCACGGGGACTCTGCAGAGAGCACGCCGTGCCCCCCACACAGCTCATGTTCTAGTAGGGGAAGGAACCAGCAAGCCCAAAAAGCAAATGAGCACGTAATATTAGTGTTATGAAGAAAACCACCATGTCTACCTTTGCAGAATAAAGAGAGCCTGAGGAGGGTAACTGAGGAGTGGTGGGAGGGAAGAGGAGGGTTAATGTTTTGTCAGGTGGCTCAGGAAGGCCTTTCTGAGGAGGTGACATTTAGTTGAGCCCTAAAGGTAGTGGAGGACTGAGTCATGTTAATATCTAGGGGAAGAGCTTCCAGCAGAGGGAACAGCAAGTGCAAAGGCCCTGAGATAGCAAGAAAACAGCAAGGAGCCCTGTGTAACTGGAGCAGAGGAAGCAAGAACAGGAAAAGAAGTTTGGGAAAAGCAGGGGCAAATGGTAGAGGGCCCAGTTGGCCATGGAGGGAGGACATTGGCATTTTTCCTGGGAATGGGGGGAGGCCACCAGAGGCTCTTCAGTTGTGACACAGAAAGATGAAGGATTAAAGATGCCTGCTGAGTACAGAACAGACCCTAGGGTTAGAGAGGTTGCCCTGATGGACAGCTGCCCAGGGGAAGCCAGGAAGGAGGCTGGAATGAACAATGAACTCCATGGAGCAGTGAGGACCAGGGTTGTTGGGGGCTCGGGCGGCAGAGCAGAGGTGGCGCCTGGTTTCCAGGGAGTCTGGCCCTGACCCTGGCCTCTGCTCTGCAGCTGAAGGAGGAGATGGGCAATGTGGTGGTGGAGCTTATCCGGAACTACTCCAACACCAGTGCCAGCGGTGAGGACAGCCTGCAGGAGGCCTGGGACTACGTGCAGATGCAGGTGAGGAGGCACCCACGCACTAGGTTAAGCGTCTCTACAATGGGTCTGTGTGCCTGATGGAGAGGAACCGTGTAAGTGTATCCCACCTGGGGCTGGGTGACTCTTGTGAGCTACCTCCCATCACCCCAGCCAGCACCACCCTCCTTCCCCAGGAATCCAGTCTTGATTGGCAGCTCCAGGAATCAAAATGCCCCATTTGTGGCCCTGGGAAAGGAGGTCCCCGCCTGGGGCTACAGAAAGGCCAAGGAGGGAAGCCTTTATCGGCTCAGGTGCAGCAGAACCTGCGGTGCCCCCAACCCTGCAGACCTCTGTGCCTCCCCAAAGTGCCAGCCAGACTTCCCTGGCAGACAGAAAGCAGCTAGGAGGATGAAAAAGAAAACCTGGTGTGGACGCTGCCTGGAGCCCTGCACTCCTACACGTGCCTGGCGCGCCCCCTGCTGGCCACTGGCTGCTAGTCTGGGATGCAACACCCTTGAGAAGGCCAGGAAGCAGCTGGGGACTGGCCACTACTGAGCATGGGGCTCACCCAGGTTGTCCCAAGGACCCTAGCTGAGAAGTTGGTAGTGCAGAGTCCACAAAGACTTTCTTTCGTCCAGAACAGAGCATTTTCTCCTGTAAAACATCAGGATTGACCATGTCTCCTTTTTCACTTGGGCAACCAGGAAGCTCAGAGTAAAATCCCAACTCCTACACGTGCTCAGCACCTGCAAGTAGACCTGGCCTTGACTGAGCTCTTACTGGGCTCCCCAGACCTGTGCAGGCACTTTGCCTGCCTTGCCCTACTTAGTCCTCCTAACAGCCCTGTGGTCTAGGAAGCTTTGTTGTCACTGTTGTTTTTGCAGATAGGGAAAGGAAACTGAGGCCAGGACCTTGGCTGAGATAGCAGAGCTGGGATTTGAACCCAGCAGCCTTATGACAAACCCCACACTCAGCAGTTTGCCATCTGCCCTTCTCACCTCCCACATACTTACGCTTGTCTTTCAACTTCCTCTGCTTTGTGTGCCCTGACTTTTACTTTCTACCATATTTGTGGTTTATTTATGACATCTCTGAAAGCTTCTTTAAATCTCTCTGGCACACAGAAGCCAAAATGAAACCTAAACTCTAATCCTGGTGGTTTGGCTTGCTTCTTGGGGCCTGGAAGCAGCAGATCTGAGCCTCTTGCTTGGGGAGGGTGGTCTGCCAGGCAGGTTGGCAGTGGGCTTAACACCCTGTCCCTGCTCTGCCCAGGTGAAGTGCTGTGGCTGGGTGAGCTTCTCCAACTGGACAGACAACGCGGAGCTCATGAACCACACCGATGTCACCTATCCCTGCTCCTGCGAGGTCACGGAGGATGAGGATACCACGTTCCTTCTGAGGAAGGGTTTCTGCCAAGCCCCTGGCAACAGCACCCAGGGCAGCAATGACCCCGAGGAGTGGCCTGTGTACAGGGAGGTGTGTGCGGGACTGTGGGAGAGATGATGGGCTCAGAGACCCTCGGGTGGAGCTGCTCAGGCCTCTTTCTTTCAGTTAGTCCCTCCTTCCATTCATTTGTTCGTGTCCTGGGTGCCAATCACTGCTGACTCCCTCATGGGACACAGGGACCTCTGGGGTACCCCTCATGGATGTGGGTGACATGGCTGTGTGCTCCCTGCAGGGCTGCATGGAGAAGGTGCAGGCATGGCTGCAGGAGAACCTGGGCACCATCCTTGGTGTGTGTGTGAGCATCGCTGTCACCGAGGTACATTCCCCCATCTTCCGTTCCTCCCGTGTGGCCTGCCTGGATTTCTTCCCATCTGCTGACATTCTGAGTTGCCCATCAGCTTCTAGAGGCTCTCTGGCCAGAGTCTGGTCTGGCTCTGTGACCTCTGGACAGGGCATGACCCTCTCTGGGCTTCCCTCTGCTGACTGTGTCAGGGTGGTCATGAGGCACACGTGGAGGATCCAGTAATCCAGATGGAAGTCTGGCTGTTCACCTGGATGGCGGGCAGGGGTTTGGGAGCAGGTAGGCCAGCCTCCCCCTGACTCTCCACCTCTCCCTCCAGCTCCTGGGGATGCTTCTGTCCATCTGTCTGTGCCGGCACATCCATTCTGAAGACTACAGCAAGGTCCCCAAGTACTGAGGCTCCTGCTGTCCCCCACCTCCCTGCCATCTCCCACCTGGACCTCCCAGGGGGCTCCCTAGCTCCCTCCTCCAGGCCTGCCTCCCACCTCACTGTCAGGCCCCTTGCCTGTCCTGAACTGGCTGGACCCCTCTCCCCACTGCCAGGCTAGAGCCCTGGAGGTCCTGTGGCCCTGCCCCTCTCTGCCCCCCAGGGGTCTCTTGGCAGCTCAGTATGGCTCCCTGCCTTGGTATCCCTCACAGGCAGGATGGCTGGATCTCCACCTACCCTGGAGGTTGTGCATATGCTATAGAGAAAGGTGTATGAAACCCCCAGGGGAAGCATGGATCATATCCCAAGGCTGTCAGGGGACTGATCCCTGGTTGGGTCAAATTCTTCCTACTATGATGCTTACAGCTTTGGTTTTTCACATTTTTATGGATGGTAATATGAGATGGTGGGTGATGTCCCTTTCCCAGGCCTGACACAGCCCTTCCAGGCAGCTCAGCTCTGCCCAGACCACCCTGTGGGCAGTACCTAATGAGTTCCATGTGGGTAGAGAGTCACAGTCCCCCTCGGTGTGGCACAGAGCTGGCCCTGCATTCTCCAGGATCCTAAGCTGTCTGGGGACCAGAGGAGGAGAAGCTGGACTGGTCTTTCTCAGCAGCTGTCCCTTGTCCCATGAGGCAGTAGGTGGGTAAGGCTGTGCCTTTCGGGGGCAGGAGGGTATCTGTGCTCTGCTCTGTAAACGCATTCAGACTTGAAGGCTGACTATTAAAGAGGTTTGTAACAACCGGGCCTGTAGTGGTGGGGTGCTGCCTCTGGGATGGGGAGGACCAATGAGAAGGCGATGAGCATCTGCTGGGGTGGGGGGGAGGCGGCGCATTGCTTCCCTGCTCTCCAAGGCAGCCTGATGCACAAAGCGTGAATGGTCAGCCCTGGCCTGGAGAGGGGTTGTATGTTGACAGGTACAAATTGTCCCCCATGAGTCCTGTCTTTGAGACCAAGGTACAGGTGCCTGGAAGGTGTACAAAATTGGGCTGTGATGGGGAACCGGGAAGTCACAGGATAAACGGACTCCTCCTAGAGCAGGGGTTTTATGAAGCTCTGTGGAAGGAAACATTTTCATACCAAAGAAATAGGGCAGATCAGATGTGCAGAGCTCAGGCCTTTTAAGGCTCGGAGACTTTAAAGAAAGGTCTTACCGTGCAGGGCCCTACACTGAGTCCCAGCACCCTAAGTCCCCAAGTCAGCACGAAATTTGGAATTCGGAGGGACAGGGAAGCACCCCAGCACAGCAAGGGAGAGAAGGCTGGAGAGGGCAGCTAGGAAGGAAGGACACTCGCCCACTTCTCTCACCTCTTCACCTAGAAGGAGGTCAAGGTAGTGCTTAGGGCCAGGGCTAGGGCTCTTGCCTACTGCGGGAGCTCTCAGAGAAGAGGGAGGTGTTTCCACTGAAGCCAGCAGGGGGCGCTGCTGCCTCAGCCGAGGAGCAAGGTTCCAGGTTACTCCAGCCGCCGGTGCTACTGCACCGTGCAGACACTGGACCTCCAGAACCCTGGTGCAGCAAAACTAGGAGGGGGACAAGGACTTTGTATTTTTTGCAGCCCTCTAAAGTGATTTTACGTCCTCAGGCTCTGGTGAAACGTAGCCACAGACTGTGGCCCCAAAGAGAAATGGGTGGTTGGGGTGGGGGGGTCAGACCAGAGAGCCTGGTCAAGGGCAAGGGGAAGGCACTCTGCCTGGTGCTCTGCAGGAGACTTTCTGTGGTTGAAGTCTGGCAAACCCGCTCAGGCCTGCTGAGTTGCCCTGGCCTATGCTGGGTCCAAAGGAGGCCTAGGCTCCAAGCCGACAGTTCCCTGTCACCTCCAGAATTCTCAGCTGCTCTTCGTGTTCCAGGGCTGGGGACTCTTGAGTAAAGCCTGTCCAGTGTACTTTTTTTTTTTTTAATAACCTGCCTTGTTCCACAAAGGAAGTATGTATACTAAAACATAAAGCATGTCAGGGAAAACACAGATCTATGAGGAAGTGTAGGCTTGATGAGATTAACACAGCTGAGTCACCCTTAAGGCTGTTCAAACGCACAGAACACTCTCCATAGCCATGCTCCCGGCAGACATTACTCATTGATCACAGTTCTCATTTTCTTAGGCCAGATGCACCCTGGCCACACTTAATAGCCAACATCACTCATTGTGGCTTCAGACTCCTCAACTCAGCACTATCAATCAATCTATTGGAATGCAAAATGAAAGCGATGCCATCCTTCAGTTCTCCACATTAAGTGAAACCATATATAATTGTGCCTCTGAGCTTCCTGGTGGCCAAAGCAAAAAATAAAAATAAAAATAAAAATGGAGGGGGGCGGGGCTGGAGGGGAAGCTTTGTCAGTTACATAGCTCTGTTTTCCCAAGGTGAATTCATTCTTAGCACTGGGAACGTAGCTGACTGGACTCTAGAATTCAAGACACCCTCCCCCACTCACACACCCACACAAAGTTTGATAGTCTTCATGTTGGGAACCAAAAAAGTCATTGGGCTAAAAGCATCAAGATGCCCACTGTGCCCAGCCATGTGCTGGTTGCCAAGGAGGACGTGGGAAGGGCAGTGACAGCACGTGGAGACAGAGTTTCCCATAACAGTTGATGGTTACACAGCACATGCCCTTCAGGAGCCTGGCTGACAAGTTCACTCCTGTCCTCGCTATATGCCGTGAGGATCCCCTTCATCACTGGGCCCTGATTATAGGTAAGGTCAGCGGGGAACATTGGCAAAGTCATTTTCTCAGCATTCTGCTTTTGCTAAGGGGGAGGTTGGGGGGGTGCTCCCCAAGCCAGCCGACCACTGACCCCTAACCACCTCCCGGCTGCAGACAAAGCAGTGATCACAGGAGAGCTCACTGTCCACTCTGTACCCAAAAGGACCTGTGTGCTGGCCCTGCCCTGAGGATGGGGAAAGAGCTTGTGGGTAGGATGGAGCACTCCAGTTAAGTCAAGAGACAAAGCACGGTCCCTGGCTGCAGGCCAGGACCCGCATCAGAAGCACAGAAGCAGGGCCTAAGCTGGACTCCGAGTTGTGTGGGATAGGGAGTAGGTCTGGTCCAGCTTGGAGATCTCTGGCACCCACACGGCAGATTCCACAGTGCTAAGCCTCAGATTGGTTCTTGGTGGCCATCCCTGATTCTGGCTCTGAGGAAGGGCTTTGGGTGATGAATGAGTTCAGTGATGGCTCAGCGCTGTGTGACACGTGACTCCTGACAGAACTCTTGGCTTCTTAGAGCCTCCTTTCCTCCTCTGAACACCTGGGGGTGTTAACAGGGCTGTGTGAGGCTCTGTTGGGGCTATGCAGAGCCCTTAGCAGGGTACCTGGCACCTGACTACCCCAACTGGAATGTGCCTGGAGCGTGTGTGTTTTCTTTGGCTTTTCTCACCCCACAGTGCTCCCAGTTGATCAGTCTCTGTTCTAGACTGTGGCCCCCAAGGCTGTGGAGGATGCAGAGAAGAGGCTCTCTGGTACAAGGGACCCAGGAGCGTGGGCCTTATAGGGGTGACAGGAAAGTGGGCAGAGCATTCATGCCCTTCAGAGCCACCTGTGGGATTGCTGCCTGGATATCCCTCAGGGTGTCCTCAGTCCCTGGGTTGGGGACAGCATCCAGGATGGGCTCTTTTCTTCCCCATGCACATCTTCCCTCCTCAGGCCCTCCTCGTTTGCCTTGCAGGAAAAGTGGGATGCGAGGAGTGCTGGCATGGAGCTGAGAACCCCCAAAAGACAGCAGGAGACATCTGCTTGCAGAGAAGGGAGCAGGTTGGGCTGGTTGCTCAGGGCTGGCTCTGGAGCTGAGGTTGGGAGTCCTGAGAGGATAGGGGCAAAGGGACTTGATGCAGCGAAGCTGACACCCCCCCCCAACCCCAGATGGAACTGGCTATGGGGTGTCAGCGGTGCGACCAGCTTAGCTGCAGGCCTTTCCTGGCTCTAGTTGCTTTGCTCTTCACTGGGGAGGTATCAGTGGCCCTGGGCCCTGCCATGCCAGGTGGGGCCTCCCAACTTGGTCCTCTAGAGAGGGCACCAGGAGCTGCTCAGGAAGCCTTCCCCCACCCTCGGTGTTTCCTACCAGAAGCTAGGGGACAGGGTCTTCCTGTAGGACCCTGGGCCAGCATGGGTCCAAACTGTTTGCAAAGTGCTTGAGAATATATCAGTCACTGAAGGGTGGGTGGCACCCCAAGCCTGGGGCTTGCAGCCCCTCCAGCCTCCTTCCCAGGTGGCTGGACCCTCTGAGCTACAGCCAGGACTTCTGTGTGGGTGGTGCTACCCTCTGGCTGCCTTCCCTCCTGCCACAGTCCAAAACAAGCTCCATGCTGGGCAGAGGACTAACACATGGGTCGTGGTGGGCAGGAGGGGTAAAGGGTGGCCCTTGGCTGTCCTATGCTTTTCCCTGGGTCAGGCAGGAGCTGGCTCTTGGGGCTTCTTGGGGAGGTGATGGCAGTGCCATTGGGTGGATTGATTGGCATGGACACTGACTAATGGGAGCTGAATGCTTGGCCTGGACAGGATCCCTGTAAGTGGATTGGAGGGAGGTACAAGGGTTCTGAAGGGTGGGCCTGGAGGGTTTCATCAGCCAGTATAGATACATCACAATTTTACCTGCTGGCATGGCTGCGTGGGGGTATGGAGGAACGCCAGCCCAGTAAGTGTGCATGCATCAATGCTCTCTTGTCCCTCACACACATGCCAGAGGTCCTGTAACCCCCGAGGGCTCAGCCCATTTCCAGCCATGAGGGACCCAGACCCTTCTGCCCTCAGATTGAGCTGTGTGTGGCTATGGCAGGCAGGGTGGGCCCAGTGTCTGCCAGCGTGGCCTTTTGGGGCCTGCCCTAAAAGAACACCCCAGTCTAATCCTAGCTGGTTTCCTGGGATCTTCCAGGAAACCCCCCAGGACAAGGACAGCAGTGTATATGGGGGACACCAATGGCCCTGGGGCATCCAGTCACTAGGACATCTCCCTGACAGGGCTGTAACCACCTCCTTCCCCTGAAGAGGACCAGAGACCTGAGCTGCCACACGGTCTCAGGACATTCTGCTTTCCGAGGTCTTTGGAATCTGAGGACTCAGGTCCAGTCATTCGTTCCTTTGACCTTTCATCCCATGCGTGCTGAGGGGACACAGACCAGTCCCAGTTTCTTAGGAGCACAGTAGTGAGGGGCACCAGCCGCGCCCACAGAGCCCTGGATTCTGCTGCTTTTAGGAACTCTTGCACGCACACCTGGATACACACATGGCACATGCATGGACACCGCACACCTCCCCCCCTCACAAGTATGCACAGGCTCTGACCACCTATTGCTGACAGCACAGTCTAAGCCAAGAGTTGCTTTGGGACCCCTGGGGCCCCAGCCCAGGCCCATCCTGGGGAAGGAAGTAGAAGAATGGACTGGAGTGGAACAAACAGGAAGGGACGAAAGCACTCATCACTCAGTCCCTCCCCCCAGCCACACTCAGGAGACCCAGCTATTCCCCCGCAGTCCCAGACCAGATCAAAACAGCCCCTGCTCACCAGGGTAAGGAGGATGAGTGACATTTCCCTTTGGTCCCATCTGGAAAATGGGGGTGCTGATCCTCTCCCCTGGGGTTGTGGGAGCCAAAGGAGGTTTGGTGCAGGATGGTGCAGCTTTTCCCTGTGGAGGGGCCTCAGCACCAGCAGGCTTCTTCCAGTCCTCCCTGGATCGGAATGAGACGTGTGGGAGAACGCTGGCTCTCGGACCATCAGGACCGGGCCTTAGAGGCCTGGACTGGGGCAGGAGTCAGTGTTC